ACAAATATAGTGTTAATATATGAATTAAATTGATATCGATCATTGTATGATCATAAAACAAATACAGTATCAATACAATAATCTAATAGTATTTGTTAGTTTCTTAGTCTAAAAGATGAACAAAAAGTTAGATTTACATCTATATATATGGATTTTATGTTTTTATTTTATTTTTTTTAAAAATCACTATTTCTTGATTTATGCTTTTGAGTACATCATAATCTAAATTTTATTTTAGATAACAGTTAAGCTTAAATGATAGTAGAATCAGAATTCATTGGCTGACCAATTTTTAATATTAGTACAGATTTTGAAGATTTGTGATGATGGCAAGTGGTGGGCTGCAAAGAAATGAAAAAAAAGCAGAATTGTAAATTTACCCATTATGGAAGTGGGCATTTTTGCTTTGCTGTACTCTTTCCCTTTTAGGAGTGAAGATGAGAAGAGTGCTTACACAATAATATATATATATATATATATATATATATATATGGTTCCACTTCCTACATGCAGGCACTTGGACTAGCATGTTCGATTATGAATTATGATAAAGCATCTTCTCCATCTCACGTTAACATGACTTTCTTTTTGGTATAAAAATTGATAATTAATATTCTTTTTATCTTCTACAACTTTCGGCTACAGAAAGAAGGAGACGTGGAGGATTTATTATTGTCGCAGATGGCGTTGTAGGGTATGTTTGCATGTTGGATTATTGGGAACCCAATAAACTTTGGCTAATTCCATTCCATTAAAGTACATATATTTTTTTTTCAGATTATGATATGAAGAATCAATCCCCACGACTTTGGGCCCCTCCAAATCCAAAAGCCGCCCCCATGTGTGTGTATATATATATATATATACATGTATAGACATGTATATGTATCCGCTTTGTGTGGTTAGGGTGCCTCAACCCCACAGAATGGACAGTAATGGAGAATTACACTGTCCACTCTTTATTTTGATGTGGGTGTGTGCATGTATACAAATATATATATATATATACGCATATACTATGCTCTATAATTAACAAATAACTAAATGCATTTTGTGGGTTTAGCCTTTGTTGAATCATGCATGTATATATATATATATATATATATATATATATATAGTCATTAAACTCACATTGTAATTCTAACTTATTACGGAAGATAAACCACCTCGCGAGAAGTAGAATATTCAATTAGAAAACTACAGAAAGCTTAACCTCTTTTATTAACATAAACATTATCTTAACTCATGGTAATAACTTGAACACCATAATAAGCCAACGGGATTCTCCATGAACTTTCAAAATATTAAAACTCGAATAAATTTTGTTTGACAAAAAAGTCTAGATCGCACCTCTTTTAAATCCAATTACTTTGTTTTCTGGAATTCTAAATGCTGTGAAATCAGACATTCAAAAAATGCACACAAAATGCATCTATTTTGGGAAAAAATAAAATAAGATCCCCTGATGAAAATAAAAATAAATAATTTTAATTATATATTTTAACAGTTCAAAATAGACACTTATATCATCAATTAAGTAAATTAATGCCAAAAAATTAGTACAGTGGCTTAAAAAACATATATATATATATATATATATATATATACAGTGTTTTTTCAGAACTACCGATTGCCAAATCTAGGCTCACTCAGGGAGATCAAGATCACAGGATGACTAAACTTGAAACCCTGTATTCCTCACTCTCAACACTATATGTAATTAACTCTATAAATACAATCTTCGACAAACAAACATCTAAAGGTCTATTTTATGACTGCAATTTTTTTTTTTTTTTTTTTTTTCATTTTTAGTTAAGGGCCTATTTTCCCTTTCTCTTCTAGGATGGATGGAGGCAAAACATGTCTCCATTGAACCCAAATTGCTTGGTCTTCCACGGTTTAATTAATTTAGTCTACGTTGAAATACAATATATTCAATGCTGAGCTTGGGATATTATTCTTAGAACCTTTTTCTGAGAACCACTGGCCGATGATGTTTCTGTAAGGACTGGTTGAAATTCCTGTAGGCCACTTATCAACCAGTTTAAAACCAAATTCTGATGCAGCTGACAGAAGCGAAGACTCGTCAACTCGGCGAAAGACATGGCAGAGAATTAAGGCCGGCTCTTGTTCCTTGCAGATTCCCTTTTTTGACGAAATAAACTGCCTTGCAGTTGCAAAAAAAGGTAAAATAGCTTCTGGGATGTAAGTAACATCTGTGCCTACAATGATTTCAAAACCCCCGTTGTTTTCTGCTTTGATGGCTTCTATGTGATCCTTGTTACCCCACTCTAGTATCTTTGTAGTCAATTTGGTTAGAACTGGAGGTTTGAGATTTGAAGTTATATTCTCCTTTAAAAGCTCAAGTACCTTGCTATCTCCATCAGTAGCAACCACGGTATCAGCTGGTTCAACAGCAACCATAGAGCAAATGCCTGCACAGCCACAACCCAAACTCTAGCACCCTTTTCCCAGCAACAATGCTTGGATTTTCCGCAAAGATAGAAGCCATCAAACGTGCTGATTCCCACAACATTAAGCCTGTTGATTTACAGGTGTGCTGATATTCTTTGGACAGAACTTTGATCTTGAACTTGGAATTGCCAATGTTGACCTCAATAATCTGTACATGAAATAATATATAGACAGATCAACAAATGATATATGTCAAGTTCAGCTACTTATGAATGCCAATTATTATTATTAATTTTTTTGAAATACTTATGAATGCCAATCATTGCCAACCCGCATTCACCGTTCAGAATCTTGACAGAATGAAACAGGTCAAAGAAATGGGAAAACTACTTTAAAATTGAGAATTGCCATTCAACAACCTAGAGGGATTTCATCAAAAAGACAAGCTACCAAGATGAAAAGCAAATGGTGAGCCTTTGGGATGTTATCCTCGGATGGTGAAAAGTCAAAACTAGCAAGTAAAAGGCAAATAATGAACCTTACCTCATTATCAAAAGATGGTGAAAAGCCAAACATTTCAATCGCCAAACCCTCAGACATATCAAAGTAAAGATTATCAACAGGCTTCTGAGAAGTATGTTTCTCAACTTCAGGTTCAACATTCTTTTGATTAAATTGGTCTGTCTTCATGGAAGTCTCCATACCTGAGGAAGACTTAACACAGTCTGAATTTCGGAATACAGCTTGGACCCAGCGCCTAAAATCAAAGGATAAAATCAAGTTCTTATGAAACTAAACATATCAAAATGCAAGACTGCAGGAGGAGAGAAAAATTTCTCTTCAAGTATTTCTCACCGATTCATCACCAACTCCTTTGATCGGTTCTCAACTTGTTTGCAGCATAAGCCAAGTTCTTGAACATCAAATCCATTTTCTTTAAACAAACTTGATAAGAAGTCATTAGAAAAGTAGAATGCCCGCTGGAAATACATGGTGGCATGAGAGATAAACCTTCTCAACCGAAATTATAAATAGAAAAAAGCATAATAAAAAAAATGAAGCAGACATCTGATTCAGACTTACAGTGCCATCACCTCTGACATAAAAGTTATCACTGATTTTTTGATCTTTGCCAGTAAGCCTTTCCTGTCAATCAAGGGATATATAGGATAGATATAACGGTTCCAAAATAGAACAACAGTAGATATGATTGAGATGAAGTATATGGACCTAAGCTACCACATTAATTTATATATGAATATTTGTAAACCCTTTTTACATCCAGCATTTATCTACAAAATAACTGGCAAAAGAAGTTTCATCCAAAAACAACTTATTTAAGTGGTCAACCCTATTTTAGGATGGAAGCGCTGCTATTTGGTATAAACATAATGCTTATCTTGTTGAACAAAGAGGAATTCAATTCAAATTGAATCAGTCGACCTAAACTACCACATTAATTTATATATGAATATTTGTAAACCTACAAAATAGCTTGCAAAAGAACATCCAAAAGCAACTTATTTAAGTGGTCAACCCTATTTTAGGATGGAAGCGTTGCTATTTGGTATAAACATAATGCTTATCTTGTTGAACAAAGAGGAATTCAATTCAAATTGAATCAGTTGCACCTTTGCTAAAACTTAATTAACCAAACAGTGGAAAGCACAAACATATTGTGCAAGTTAAACGGCAATAGTCCCAGTCTTTATAGGGTAAACCTAAAAGGCTATATTTGGGAGTCGCAAGGACAGAGAAAAGAAAAGATGTGGAGCGGGTGAAAAGTTAAAAAAGAGATTTTACTTTCCTTTTTCTTGTTTGGGTGCTCAGAAAATAGAGAAAAAAAGAACGAGAAAAGATTTGGTACTTCCCTAAATTTTAAAAATAGATAGAAATCTTTTCCCTTTTGATTGGAGAAGAAAAATATTTTGTATTACCATGTTACCCCTTGTCCCTTTCGCTTCTATGTACTTGAGTAGTGCCTATAAAATAATCTATAAAGAAAATGATATTAATTGTCTGCTAATTTATAAATTAAATGATCATAAATAATTATTTTTCGAATTAGAATAATATTAAAACAAAAAATCTTTCATGAAATCAATTTAAAAATGAATAAATAGTACCAAGAACCCTATGTTTATCCATGGACGTAAAAACATTATTGAGAGCTGAAGGCAGTCTCAGGAGATTGGGATGGTTCAAGAACCCAAGCGCATTGTTGGGATCCAGGCACACTCTCCAGACTCTTGGCTATCTTATTTTTCGTACCATTTTCGTACTCCTTGATGTTATTAGCTCTTTTTATTTCCAAATGAAACACATTCTAAAGAGAAGAGGAGAATGCTAATAATTCTATGTAACATGAAGGAAAACTAAACCATAAACACAGAATTATCACCCAAAAAAAAGCCATAAAGTTTGGATTGTAATAAGACCAACTCAAAAGGGATGAAACTGAACTTTGCCTCTGATAATATTTATTTTATTGAAAAAAACCTGATGTTTATGGGGAAAAAACTTAAAGGTAACGGACATCTGATTCTGTCCAACATCATAAATGATCAGAGAAAGGACTATGTGCTAAAGTAGACACACAAATTAATTAGAAGAGTTTGTCAAGAATTCTAGCTTTTTTCAGTTTTTGTTTCTTTTTTTTTTTCAAAGCAGTTTTTCCAGAGTTCTAAGGGCACCACAAAGATTCTTGACAAAAACTGTGCATGCATATAGAGTTCCACCATATAAATTAGCAAACAGCATTTAAAAGGAGCGTGGATAACAACCTGAGCAAGGTCACCAACAGCATAGTCACGAAACAGCACACAACCATTTGGCTGAAAAGAGAAACAAAATTTATGTGAATTGAACCAAACTTTCATCTAAAAAATAGAAGGAAAAGTTACATTTAGCACCCTGTACTTTTAAATTTGTAATGATTACTACTGTGTGTACTTACAAATAAGACACTCATCCTCACATACTCTGTCTGCGTTTCAAATAGCTCTGATCTATTAAAATGTCTACTATTAGTGATAAACTCGCAAGGAAAAACTAGTAAATTTGTTCATCTCCTCATTCTTTTTTCTTTCCAGCACCCAGATTCCATAAAACCACTCTTAACAAAACATTATTTCTATGAAATACTCTCAGACAATACCAAACTTATGGAAGGAAAGAACGAGCTTATCTCTGTAATTGCTTGGGTGCCAGCCTGGAGGTATGCCTTACAATTCATTCTGGCCGAGACTGAAGGAACGTTGTTGATAACGCACATCCTGTGCTAGCTCACAGGGGTGGGCACACAAGTGAAAAGCAGACCGGCAACAAAGACAGAGGACACAAAGATTTCTTTTTTTTTTCTTTAGAGTTCATTTTATTATAGGCTCCTAACTTCGTTGTCTCTTACAAATTAAAAAAAAAAAGAAAAGAACTTAACAATTTGAAATATTTTTAGCAAAGCGGTCATTGTTGTTGCTTGCATTAGCAATACCATGATTAGCATTTTCCAAAATTTTCAAATTTGTTCTTCATTGACCTTTATATCAAGTAGTTCTCTTTTTGTTTATTATTTATTGTTGAGGCAATAGTTCCAACACCTATAAATAGTTAAATAAATTCAAACAGCAAATTTACGGTTAATTAGTTTTCAGATAATGAAGAAAGAATGAAGGAGAAGGAGATGAAAAAAATACAAGTTTAACCCTGTGTGCTTAACATTTGCAATAGACATTTTAATAGTGGATACTAAATGAAACATGCACCAAGTATGAGGGGGTATTTGTCTAAATGAAATACAGGGTCGTATTTGTTAAACCTCAAGATTACGGTGGTAAATGTAACTTTCACAAAAGAGAAATAGGAAACCAATCACATTTTACAGTTCTAAATATCATAAGCACTTACCTTAAGAACTTTTCTAACATTTTGCAACACTAGCGGCATCTTTTCTGGTGACACAGCAGATAGTACAAAAATCTATATACCAAGTCATCTAAAAATTAGTAGAAATGATTTCCAAGAAAATATCCAGAAAACAACCATGTATGAAAAATGAGAACAGCCAAAATTCAATAACTATATAAAATCAATAAATGATAATTTAATCAAATACCATGCTGATGATATCAACTGACGATGGAGAAATCTGCTTGCTCAGGTCATCAATGGTAAGATCAGATACAAATGCATTAACACGGGTCTCCACAAAGTCTTTATGTGTCTACAATCAGTAAGGTAAAACAATCAGTTCATACGAATCACATATCCTGAACTTCCACATTATAAGAGAAGTAGTATCTATGTTACACCTAAAACGATCAATTCTTAGCACCAACTAATCAAACCAGAGGTTTATGGAAATCACTTAAGACAGCCACGATATAACAGCTAACATCATGTTTCCATTATCAATCATTGGGCAATTTACCTTCAGAATGTGATCATTCAATTCAAACATACCTATCCAGATTAGTTCCATTACAGAACAAAGAAATACCAACACAATTCCCCAATGTTTTCAACGTAGATTACTTATATATGGAGAGAGATGACAAACACTAACCTTGACCAAATTAATAGCACGTGGGGAAAAATCGCATGCATGCACAAAAATATCCGGATATGTAGTAAACAAAGGAAAGATGGTGTTTCCAGCTCCACAGCCAACCTGCTTGCAAGCATTGGAACAGTTAAAATATTTAGTCTTAATCCCAGCACTAAATTTCCAGCTCCACGGCCAACCTGCTTGCAAGATTGGAACAGTTTAAATATTGAGTGTTAACTCCAGCACTAAATCTCCATGGGTGAGGTTAGCCAAAAAAAGTAAGGAGGAAAAAAGTTTCCGAGCTTAGATATCATCTATGCTTAGTTTTTTTTTTTTTTGGGATAAAAGCAAGTACAACTGAGAAGTTGGGAAAAATTAAAGGATAAAGAGGATAAGACATCCTAGAACAAGAAGGAAAACCAAAAAACCAAATTAGAAAATGGAAAGCCCTTAACAAAGAACAGCTTTCCAATTCAGTTGAAAGCTAGGCTGCCACATTTCAAAAGAAAAAACCGATGTGCCTTAACCCATAAATAAGTAAACAAATACCATTCTATCCCAAACAAGACTAGAATAATAGCTGCATTTAGTAAAAAGAAAAAAGAAAAATACAAAAAAATCAATAGTAGAAAAGTAAAATAAACAGTTTAAGTATAGAAAAGACAGAAAAATAACAGGGTTCAATTAGAATAATACTGAAACCATTTTATTC